AAGTGAGAAAGTGGAAATGTCAGTGAAGAATAATGAAGCAAACTGAGAAAAATAAAAGCCAACGCAATAAAAAAAAAAAAAGTAAACAAAAAAGCTGTTAGAAAAATATCATGAAGATTGGATTTGTGCAAATAATAAACCAAACATATTTAAAAAATCTGGTCCAGAATATGGAAAATAATACTGAACCAAATGCAGTCATGATAGATATTTGAGGATTTTGATTCATGGATAAAGACCAAGAGTTTATCTGCACCCGTATGTAATAGCGTCCAGTCACAAGGACATAGATTTGACAGCGATTCACAAGCAATTCATCAAATTATTGCACTTTAATCCAATAGATTCCCATCCTGAGATACTTTCATTAAAATTTGGTTATTGAATTTTGGAGGTATTAGTCCTAAACACTTTTCGACAAGGGTGAAAGTCTCTAGGAAGTTTGGTCCATTCTATCTATAAAAGCCCTGGAAACCTTTGAAATGCTTTAACTGAAAGAATTGGCGGATGTCAAGTGCCCGAAGAATACCCAAACCCTTACTCAACCTCTGAAGAAGAAGAAGATGGGCAAAGTTGGATATAATACAGAAAAATATGGGTTAAATAAGATCAAGAGTAAGATGGATCCGTGTCAACTCATACATTGAAGAGACAGTGAGAGAGGGAGTGAAAGGCTGAAGGCTCAATAATTGTGTCGTTTAACATGCCCTCGGTGTCTGGATATTACATGTGAACCCTACAGGTTTCAGATAAATACATTTTTTCCCACTCTCATTTCCGGTGAGATTGTATTATTTAAATGTAAAACCCACAAAAGACTAAGCCAGTTGGAAGTTGACCTAGATAATCCACAAACAGCGCTACTCAAATGGCCTCCAAACCTTGCTCGTCGGTGTTCTTCTTCTTCTGAAACGGTTACGAAAACCAAAATCTCATCTTTGTTCACAAAAAAGGTAAAGTGACTACAACTAAACCACCAGATTCGTACATAACGTTGAAGAGTTAGCGAGGCTTGATAAATTTCTCAAAGGATTGGTAATAGAATTTGGTAATTTGGAGTTGTTCTCAACTTCTTGACGAATCCCATGCATTCCCGCGGGATTGTAAACCCTTTGACAATTTTTTTTCATTATGCGATTTTTCCATCCAAGGGTGCGGTTTTAACTATGCCAAAGTTTTGGGTATGTCCATGAAATTTGGAGATACGTTCATGTTGGTAATTGTAAGGATAAAAGTTATAATATATATGCACTTTGTTTTTGTGAGATGAATAAGCAACTTTGGTTCTTGAGATTTTATAGATTTTTTTTTCATTTTTTATTTTTTTGGGAGTTCAAGTTCTTGTTTCATCTGCATTCTGCCTATGATGAATTATGGTGTTAGCTGGACTACAACAGAATGGTGCAGCACCTTCTTTTGGGTGCATTGTGGGTCGGGTCGCAAATCGAATCAAAGTGGGTAAATTTACTGTAGATGGGACCGAGTGCACTTTGCCAATCAACAACTACAAGCAGCCGAACAGTCTCCATGGTATGATTTTGCTTGAGTTGTAGTGTTAGATTTTTCATTTTCTAATTGATTGTGCGAGAATCTCGTGTTGTTTTAGGTCAGTCCCTATCAAAACTGTTGTAGTCCAGCTAAAGCTTTGTTGTTGATCTTGAGTGGATTGTGCTAGGCTTTTTCACTATCAATCCATCCTTTACCAGCCAGCCTTCTTATGTCCATTCCTGCAAGTGCACGTTTTCATTTAGCATCAAACCTAAAATATAACAAGTGTTATGATGTATATATAAAACAATTAAGACTTACTGGAAACAGATAAGGAGATGTGATTGGTCTCATTAGGATAATGCCACACTCTCCCGTTACCACACTTGAGAGAACTCTTGCAGCCAGCCTTTTCTGAAGCTTTAAACACACCATTTTTAATTTTAATTTGACCAAAGCACTTCCTGGTAACAGGTTTGTTTTCTTGAGTGAAGAACTGAATGTCACTGCTGAGTTACCCGAATAAATAATTGCTACTATTGATGTTGCTTATGTGGTTTTGGTGCTAGTGAAGTTGATTCTGAGTTGTTGCTGCTGATTAATTAGTTAGTTTAAAGGAATTATGTGAAGTAATGTTGATGTTGTAGTGCTGATTTTTATGTGAAGTGATGTTGATGTTGATTTTGTTTAGGTGAAGTATTGTTGGTGCTGATGAAGGCTGACTCTGAGTAATTGTTGTGGGGTTGATTAATATGTAGTGCAGAATGATGAGAAGTGATGTTAATGTTGTAGTGTTGATATTGATTTAGTGTTGGTGTTATTGAAGTAATAGTCTGTATTAAAAGAATATGATCATAAAAAGAACAGAGTTCTTGTAGTATGACAAAGGCAGAGAGCAGAGCAAAGTTTGTTAATTGAAGACATGTTTTGTTTTAAGGGGAAATATTGAACATATAAGCTACTTGGGTTTCACTGTAAGAATTAGAAAGACTTGTAAAATAACCTATATAATATGCATACATTAACTTATGGTACTATCGATTGTACCGTAGACTCCTTTCTACTATTCTGATACATATTTTTACCTTATATACCATATCAGTAATACTACACCAATAATCTTCTCTCACAAACTTTCTTTCACAATCTTGACGTAACAGTTCGTAATTGGTCAGTTTATATTTAATTAGTAAGATCTATGCGAGACTTATGCAGGATCTGTTGTAAACTGACTAATTACGAGTTGTTATGTCAGGGTTGTAAAAGAAAGTTTATCAGGGAGAGTTGTTGATGACTTGGTGTATTATTATTCATATTATACATGAGTAATTTTATATTTACGAATTAAAGATTCTAATTTTGGATGTCGATTGATTTGATTGTTTATATATTCTCATGTCATCATCATTGTCAACAACCACGATAAGTAGAATTCAAAATTTAAAGATATATTATGTCAATAATTTTGTTTGTATAGGCAAATGATCAATTATGAATCTCCCATTCCATATTGGCAAAAGGTTGGAGAGCATAACTAACAATGTCTAGATATATAAATATATTCCTATAGATTGATAAAATGTATGTTAATTTCTCCTTGTGTTTTAATTTAAATTTTAGGAGTATTATCAAGTACCTCCCCCGAGGTTTCAGGTATTATTAAATTCCCACCAACTGATCCAGAAACTCTCAACTACTTCCCCTCAGCACCTGTTCTCCAACGCCTAGACATTAAAATGATTGGTTATATTGGTCTTTTGACATTATACAATAAAACTAAAAATTAGAAAATATATGAAGGAAAAACAATCCCTCCCCAAGAAGAAACCCAACATCAATCCCCTACAGAAACCCATCACCACTGTTGCCGGAAAATTCCCCACCCTGTCCAATTTTAACAAAGGTATTGAATTCCCTCGGAGTAACCCTATTTTATCTTTAGTTTTGTATCTGATTTTACCTGGGCCATAACATTTAAACAACTCTAATGAAAATATAGGCTCTGTTTGACACATTATTTCTACCCATATTCTCAATCCTATTCCCAAAATATTGTTTGTTTTACTATTTAAGAAATATTAATGTATTTTTTAATTACTTTTAGACCTCTTAAGTTTGTTAATTTCATAAATACCCCTAGAAAAAAGTTTAAAAATTAACAAAAATACCCCCACCCACCCATACTTGCCAGATTCCGATAACCACCGTCAGTGGTAGCCAGAATCTGTCACAACGGCCTACAAACGACTGGAACTGACCGGCAATTCACCAATCTGGCCGTCGAATCTTGGCCATCGTTGACCAACAACGACAGCCAGATCTAGACTTTTTTGGTCGTCGACGGCCATATCTGGACATAGATATCCGGCCTTTTCCGGCCAGATCTGGCCGAAAAAGGCCATATCGACGTCCTACTCACCAGATCCAACGGTCTGTGTCGTAACGCCATTTTCCAGCCAGATTCCGACGGTGGTGGCCGGAAACTGGCACTGTGAGTGGGTGGGTGTGTTTTTGTCATTTTATAAAAAATTTATATATTGAGGTGTTTAGTTAAATTAGCAAACCTAAGGGTTTTTTTTTTTTTTAATTTTTTAATTTTACATCATAATACTTCTCTATTCAACTACCCAATATTATTTTCAAAATCCTATCCAAAATAATAAAACAAACGGCCCCATCGATATTCAAGGATTCTGATTCATGTATAAGACCAAGAGCTTGCTTGCACCCATATGTAATAGCGTCCAGTCCACGAGGACATAGATTTCGACAGTGATTCACATGCAATTTCACCAAATTATTGCACTTTAATCCAATAGATTCCCATCCTGAAATACTTTCATTAAAATTTGGTTATTGAATTTTGGAGGTTATTAAGTCTCTAAATACTTTTCGACAAGGGTGAAAGTCTCTAGGAAGTTTGGTCCATTCTATCTATAAAAGCCCTTAGAAACCTTTAAAATGCTTTTAACTGCAAAGAATTGGGGCATGTCAAGTGTCCAAAGAATACCCAAACCCTTACTCAACCTCTGAAGAAGAAGAAGATGGGAAAAGTTGTAATATAATACAAAAAATATGGTTGAAGATGAATAGTAAAGATGGATCCGTGTCAATTACATTAAGAAAAATAATACAGCCACCAACTGTAATGCATCGAATGACGTGACAAAATCTTAACCGTTGATTAATTTTAACTTAATATTAATCAACGATCAGGATTTTGTCACGTTATTCGGTATACAAATTCGATGCACTACTGTCGGTGGCTATAGTATTACTATTACATTAAAGAGACAATGAGAGAGGGAGTGAAAGGCTGAAGGCTCAATAATTTTGCTTCGTTTAACATGCCCTCGGTTTCTGGATAATTACATGTGAACCCTACAGGTTTCAGATAAATACATTTGATCCCACTCTCATTTCCGGCGAGATTGTATTATTTAAATGTAAAACCCACAAAACTAAGCCAGTTTGAAGTTGAACCTAGATAATCCACAAACAGCGCTACTCAAATGGCCTCCAAAACCTTGCTTCGTCGTTGTTCTTCTTCTTCTGAAACGGTTACGAAAACCAAAATCTCATCTTTGTTCACAAAACCAGGTAAAGTGACTACAACTAAACCACCAGATTCAGTTCATAACGTTGAAGAGTTAGCGAGGCTTGATAAATTTCTTCAAAAGGATTGTAAAGAAGGTAATATAACTCTTGATGAAGCACGCTATTTCTTTTGTTTAATGATTCATATGCAACCCAAACCACCAATTTCATCATTCAACCGGTTGTTTGGAGCTCTTGCTAAGAAGAAGTTTTATAAAGACGTCATTTTGCATTACAAGCGAGTGGGTTCAATGGGGTTGTTGCCGGATCTTTTTACTTTGAATATTTTGATTAATTGCTTTTGTAATGTGGGTCGAGTTTGTGATGGTTTTGTTGTTTTTGGGAGGATTTTGAGGTGGGGTTTTTACCCAGATGCTGGGACTTTTAATCTTTTGATTAAAGGTTTGTGTTTGGAGAATAGGAGTTTGGACGCTATGAGTTGTCCCCCCCCCCCCCCCCCAAAAAAATGGCTGTGTTGGGGTTAGGCCTAATATTGTTTTTATGGTAGTATTATCGATGGTGTTTGCAAAGATGGGTTGGTTGATAGGGCCAAAGAAGTTTTTTTGGAAATGAAGAGTAGAGGAATTAAGCCAAATGTGGTTGTTGTACCTCTCAATTTCGGTTTGTGTTTTGTTGGAAATTTGGAGGAGGCTGTGAATTTGTTTATTGAGATGGCGGGATCAAGGTTTGCAGCCTAATGTGCTAACTTATAATACAATTATAAGTGGGTTTTGCAAGGAGGGGAAGATAGAGGAAGCTAATGGTTGTTAGAATTGATGATCCAAAGAGGTTTGCAACCAGACATATTTATTTATAGTACTTTGATGGATGGTTATTGCTTGCTGCATAGATTGATGATGCAAGGGAGCTGCTAATCTCTATGGAGAGTAAGGGCTGTAAGCCTAATGTTGTCAGTTATAATATTTGATCAATGCCTATGGCAAGAATAGGAAATTAGAGAATGCTATGAGTCTTTCAGGGAAATGATTTCAAAGGGAATTAGACCAACAGTATTTACATACAACGCTTTGTTGACTAGTCTTTTCTATCAAATAAGGTTGGAGCTGCACAGAAACTATTTGCTGAGATGAAACTTTATAATGTCGCACCTGATTCATTCATATAGTATTTTGATTGATGGGGCTATGCAAGAAGGCTGTGTTCTGGAGAGCAGCAAAATGGTTTCGTACATTGGAGTACTATGAGTTAAACTTAGTATTGAAATCTTAACAGCCTCGTTGATGGGTTGTAAAAATGGAATGCTTGAAATTGTTTTAGAGTTATTTCACAAGTTGCCTCAAAAAGGCCTAATGCCAGACGTTGTGACGTATTCCATCTTAATCCGTGGGTTTTGTAAAGAAGGGAAACTAGAAAAGGCATATGACTTGTTATCAGATATGGAAAGCAATGGTTGCACTCCAAATGTTGGTTCTTTCATACTCTTATGCGAGGTTTTTTACAAAATAATGAGGCAGCTAAAGTGGTTGAACCTTTCACAAAATGAAGGACAGAAATGGGATACCGGATGATACCCATTTCCATAGTTGGGATTTACTGTCAAAGGATAAAGAACTTTTGAAGTTGCTCCTCAATTTCCTCCGCACAAAGTCAACAAGAGGGACATGATAAATATTGCTGTACTTGACTATAAAAAACCATCTTCTATGCTGTGAATGTCTGTAAATTTATGCTACAGTGATAGTATTTTCTCTTCTATTTCTATATAGCATCCTTTGATCATAAATCTTCACGTATTTAATCCTTTATATATTTGTAAGTTTTTTGCTTATTTCAATTTGTTGTTTCTCACTGAATTCTGCTTCCTCGTTATTTTAAACTCTTGCAGTTAGTTCTCGATATTATGAGAGTATACTGTCATGAGGCAAAGATGACACTTGATAGTTTAGGATTATGAATATTATGATTAGATGAACTTTTTATAGTTTTGTATCCCAATTTTGTACTAGGAACTTAATAAGAGTATCGTGTGGAAACTAATTAAGTTGAATATGAATTTCATCAATCCTTAATTAGGTTGGATTGCATATATACAATTTATTAACAATGTTGTTCTGGATTCAATTCTATTGAACCATATGTGGTAAAATTCTATCTTTTCTCGACCCCATTTGATATTTTGTCATCTTTTTTTGATTGGATGAAAATTCTGGTCTGGGTGCATTGTTAGATTGTTTATGGATTGTAAACCCCTGACAATTTTTTTCATTATGCGATTTTTCCATCCAAGGGTGTGGTTTAACTATGCCAAAGTTTGGGGATGTCCATAAAATTTGGAGATTTGTTCATGTTGGTAATTGTAAGGAAAAAGTTATAATATATATGCACTTTGTTTCGTGAGATGAATAAGCAATTTTGGCTCTTGAGATTTTATAGATTTTTTTTAATTTTAATTTTTTTGGGAGTTCAAGTTCTTGTTCATCTGCATTCTGCCTATGAGAATTAGGTGTATCAGAATGGTGCAGCACCTTTTTTTGTTTAATGATATCATGCAACCCAAAACCACCATTTCATCATTCAACCGGTTGTTTGGAGCTCTTGCTAAGAAGAAGTTTTATAAAGACAGTCATTTTGCATTACAAGCGAGGGGGGTCAATGGGGTTTTGCCGGATCTTTTACTTTGAATATTTTGATTATTGCTTTTGTAATGCAGGTCGAGTTTGTGATGGTTTGTTGTTTTTGGGAGGATTTTGAGGTGGGGTTTAACCCAGATGCTGTGACTTTTACTTCTTTGATTAAAGGTTTGCTTTGGAGAATATGGATACGGAGGCTACGAGGTTGTGCAAGAAAATGGCTATGTTGGGCTAGGCTTGACGTGATTATGTATGTGACTCTTCATTCAAGGATTTGTCGCACAAGCAACACGAGCGGTGCGCTTTGATTGTTGAGGAAATGGTTGTTGGGGGTGTTAATTGTAAACCTAGTATTGTTGTTATGATAGTATTATCCATGGTCTTTGTAGAGATGGGTGGTAGATAAGGCGAAATAATTTTTTTTTTGAATGAAAAGTAGAGGATTAAGCCAAATGTGGTTTTGTAACTCTCTAATTTACGGATGGTGTTTTGTGGGAAATTTGGAGGCGGCTAAAGGCTTGTTTAGTGAGATGGCGGATCAAGGTTTGCAGCCTGATTTACTGGCATATAACACAATGATAAGGGGGTTTGCAAGTAGAGGAAGCCAACTGGTTGTTGGAATTGATGAGAGCAATTTTTACAAACTAAATTTATTGAGTTTTCTTTGTCATAAATGATGATGAAAAATTGTATTAGTTCTATTGAGAGCCTATAATTGAGTAAAGATTAAATATATACTATAGTATTAATGTATTTAATAAGGAATACCTGAAATAAACACAAGCTCACACTGTATACTGAATCGATAATGTTATTGACTCAATATAATCTTAGAAATTGAGTTTTTGATAGTTGTTTTCCGACATTATAAACAAAAATAGTTATTTGTCACTTAAAATATGCCTAAATAATATAGTTTACTAAATGATATCATTATATATATAAGTCAATACAACATAAATGACTAATTTCTCTCTTATCTATCTTGATAATTATGTAATTGAAGAAATTTAAACTAAAAACAACCTATAAATATGCATACATTAAATTATGGTATTGTCAATTATATCGTAGATTTTCTATTATCTGATACATTTCTTACCTTATGTACCATATATGAGTAATTTATATGAGTAATACTACATATACAAACAAATCGGGAGAACGACATTTCCCACCCAAGGTTGATGAAACCACACTTTTCCACTCGTCAAGTTTCAAATGACACTTCTCACCTGCAAGTTTCAAAATGACACTTTCCCACCCTTTCGTTAGGTCTGTTAGTGTTTTCAGTATATTTGATTGAAAAGACAAAAATACCCTAAATAGTTTATTCTTATTAGTTTATTATAAATTAAAATTAGTTAATTCAAAGTCTTTATCGATTATTTATTAGTCCAAGTATAAAGATACATTTTTTTCTTTATTATTTAATTATTAGGAATATTGATTTTTTATGTTAATTAGTAAAAATGAAAAACATTATAAATAACAGGATGTAATATTGATAACATATAAATAAATATTAAGATTATTTAACTTTAAACAATTTTATAGATTACTCCTAACTTTTAGGTGAGTTAACATTTTTTTTTTTTTTTTTTTTTTGAATTTTAATATTGACTTTTGGCTAATTAAAAAATAATATAAAAAATTATAAAGAAAATATTTAAGGGTATTTTAGTCTTTTCAGTAAAATATTAACGAAAACATAACAGAACCTAACGAAGGGTGGGAAAAGTGTCATTTTGAAACTTGATGGGTGGGAAAGTGTCGTTTCGCCAAACCTTGGGTGGGAACATGTGTTCTCCCAAACAAATCTTACAAATATGTATAAACTGAGGTGGCACAAAATGAATGGACGAAGGAATATGATGAGTTTGACTTTTGTATTAACTTTCCATTCATTTTGTGTTACATCACACAAATTTTTGTAAGATTTATTTGTACATCTAATATTTATTGATTATATATACGTAATAAGGGTTCAAATTTCTAGATTATAAATATATCCTCTATCTTATAGCTGCAAGGGCAGATATATTCTTTCATATCTTGCAAATAGATTGATAATTATATTAGTTTTCCCTGTGTTTTATTTTAAATTTTACTAGTATTATCTATCAAGTACTGTACCTCCATGAGGTTTTCACTGTCATAAACTCCCTCCCACTGTTCCAGAAATTCTCAACTACGTCCCCCCACAGGTTTCCACTTTCCTCAACCACCTCCTCTAGGCATCGTTTTCTACCGGCGTATTCTAACTATAAAGGTGAAAAGTCAATAATGCCCAAAGTGATAAAATCTATTTGGTTGTTATGGTTTTTGTTAACTAAATTTTGATAATGGGTAAATGTTATTTAATTGTACATATTTTAATATTTTTTCCGAGTTTTTACGGATTCATTTGTTAATTAATATTGAGTTTTATCTCAATAATTTAAATAAATTAGATTAGGATATGGATAAGTTTATTTTATTTTATCTTTTACAAATTGATTTATTATAATTAGTGACAATTGGAATAAGGAAAAAGGAGAATTATCAAAGGAAAATATAGTGTCTCTTTTAACGGAGGTCTTGGGTTCTCAAAGTAGCCCTATTTTATCTTGAGTTGTATCTGATTCTACCTAGGGCCAACATTCATGCTGGCGGATCGTGGATTGAACAGGGTGGGGAATTTTTGTCGGCAACAGGGATGATGGGTTTCTGTAGAGGAAGGGAGTGTTTTTCCTTTATATATTTTCTAATTTTTGAGTTTTATTGTATAATGTCAAAAGACCAATATACCCAATCATTTTAATGTCTAGGCGTTAGATAACGGTGTTGAGGGGAGGTGGTTTACAGTTTCTGGAACAGTTGGTGGTAGTTTGGTAATACCTGAAACCTCAGAGGAGGTACTTGATAATAGCCCTGAATTTTAGCTATAAAACAAAGTTAGGTGAGGGAGTGAATAGAATAAAATCCCAAAAAACATCAACAGCTCGTTACCATCTTCAATCATAAGTTTGGTGACCACGTCCTTATTTGATTTTGCTCCATCCCTCAGGACCCTCACCATGTGCTCATCCTGAAAAAATTAATTCCACCATTTAAACTATTCATCAATAAGACAAACTTATATGTACATAATCATAGGTTAATTACAATAAACGCTCACAAAATTAATTAATTAAAGATATATAATTATCTCTGGGTAGTCGAGTGATTCGATAAAGACTCTCGGATGTATTACTCAAGAGGTCTTGAGTTTGAATCCCTTCTCGGTTGTTAATAAGAGTACCCACATGAGCTATTACCTGACTGGTAGTTTCAGGGTCTTGAGAGATTAATTAAGGTACGCGTAAGATAGCCGAAACACCCACAGTTATCAAAAAAAAAAAAAAAAATTATAATCAGTGATGTAAAAGTTAGTTTGTGTGACGGGTTTGTACGTGTAAATAAGTAATGTTTCTCATATTCGATACCGATAAGAAATTATCGTAAATAGACTAAACCAAGAGATTTTTGTTGTAATTACCCTGAATTATTTATATGGATTTTGTCTTATTAAGTAATTAATCTCAACTAACTTTTAATCCGATAATATTTTAATTCTTAAGAAACAAAGCCTCCTTCACATAAATTCATTCATCTTCAAGCCCTTTTAAATATGGTCTTTTCTTCTTCTTACATGATTTTCTGCAAAAACAAGACTCTCAGCGCTGAAGCCTCCAAATGGGAAATGCAACATCTTGTGGACCTTCAATAATCTGCAGCAACAATGGAGTTATAAAGGTCTTAATATTCTCCAACGGAGATTTACAAATCTTCACAAAACCAGTCAAAGCAGTGGAGCTGATGCTGGAGAATCCAGGCCATTTTTTGTGCGACTCTGAGAGTTTAAAAGTTGGGCAAAGAATCGAGGGATTGTCGGCTGATAAAGAGTTGGAAGTTTCCAAATTTTACTTTTTACTCCCCATGGGGCTGCTCTACTCAGTGCTGACTGAGGATGAAATTGCGAGTTTTACAAGTAAGGCTGCCATGGCTTTGAAGCAGAAGCAGGCAAATTATTCGAAACATTTTGGAAAAATATTTCCTGTTGTTCTGATTGAGTTTTGTTTGTTTCCATCATCAGAAGCAAAAACAAAAACATTTGATTGTTTTTCACATGAAATTGTTGCAGCCGATGATCATCCTGTGGAGAGTTTCTCTAAACAGAGATCATGGAAGCCTGCCCTGGATACCATTTTTGAAATTCCAACCAGCTAGGATTTTCATGTGTATAGTTTTGTGATTTTTCCTTTTCCCTTTATTCATCTCGATTGTTTTTTTTTTTTCTTAGGTGTATAAAGGGAGTTATATTTGGTATAAAACTCAAGATTTTTTTATTTTTCTGATTTTATTATGAGTTTATTTATAAAAAAACTTACCGTGAAATCCTATTATTTTATTATTACTCTGATTGATTTGAGAGTTATAGTCTTCAAGAAATATATCATAAATTATTTCATTATTATTTTAATTAACTTGAGCGTTAAAGAGTTTTCAAAAGATAAACTAAAAATGTTGACGATCTTGGAGCATTTCCGATGCAAATAGAGTTAACCTCTTCAACTATTAGCCAAATTTCATTTGGTCCATTTTCAGATAGACAGTTTATTACTAGAAGGAAGGTTATGTTTCAATCGTATTTCACTTCACTATCTTAGAAATTTTGTCCCTAAGCAATCTAAGACTTAAACAACTAGAGTCTAATAGAAGTCTAATATGTATAAACCTAAGAATTAAGCAAAATCAGGAGTAACTCTTTTTTACGACTATCTTACATACAACTGATTAACTGTGAGGTGTTCCATCAACACTCAAAAGATTAACGTATATCATATTAGTTGATTACATATACAACCGTTTACAAGGATTTTTGAAATTTTCAAACTTCAGAGTTTGGACTCATTTGAGATGAAACTTACGTGGTCCAACGGCTTCAAAATTTGACTCATATGGGTCAAGCTTATCACTTATGTAGGCCTAGATTACACAAAAATACATCCAACTTTACATCTAATAGACAACCAAAAAGAGCCCCCACATTGATGAAGCAAAAATGTCCATGTGGATGTGGGGAACTTTGAAGTAAAAGAAAACAACTATAAAAAAGAGGAATGAAAAAAGGAAAAAAAGGGGAGGGGAAACAAGAAGAACAAATCTCCTCTAACTCTTCTTCAAGATTCATATAATAAATCAAATTAATTATAAAAAAACATATCTTCAAGCTAGCAGAATAAAAACACAAAATTAACAAGACAAACATTTGAAATGAAAAACTCGAGATAAAAGTTAGACTTTAAATATTACTTTATAAAATTATTATTCCGAGTTGAAAAATGTTCTTAACTAAGACATTTTGAGCTAACTCTTTTAAAATGTGGGCTCTAGTTATTATTGCTATATAGTTAGGGTAACGTTATTGTTTACTATTATTTATTTATTATTATTATTTTTTTTTTTTTGTAACCAAAGTATCTAGACCAGGTTACTCGCACCTTAACTTATTGTTGGGAGATACTAACACAACAACCCATCGTCATGACTCATGACCATCTTCTTAAATCACGGATGCTCAAATAGGGAATTGAATCTGAGACTGTACGCCTATCTACGAATGGATCGTCTATATATATATATATATATATATTTTACAAATTTAGGTTTTGGGTGAAAGATGTCAATTTCAAAGACTTGATTAGGAGATAATACTAAGTAGGTTACTAGGCACAAATTAAAGCAAAAGGGAGGAATTTATTTAGCTTTAATAGAAATTGTTTGTTGATGGGTCTATGTCAAAGCCAACAATTTTCTCCATTAGTTGGAAAATCTAATCCCACTTTTTGTTCTAATAAAAGCTTCCAACTCAGCTAAATGCCCTTTTTATGATCCATGATTCCTTGACACCTGTTAATATCAACATTAAAAAAAATATTACATTCTTTAAAAGTTTAAAGTTAATTTTAGGCACCCTAGAGTTGATTTTAACATTATAGCATTATTATTTGGGGCAGCCTAGGGATTTGACAAACATTACTGGGCATTTTACATGTTTTAAAGACCATTAAAGGAAAAAAAAAAAAAATATATATATATATATATAATGAATAAATGATCTATTTTATCTTTTCTTTTATGTGATCAAGTGTATGGATCAATTTAATCCTCGAAAGAAATTAGTATAATAATCCGAAATTAGTATAATAATCCACTATCACGATGCTCCACTTATTTTATCTCAATCAAGCAACAAAATGTGTTTGACAAATTTGAATAAATTTTGTACCAAAAATTTTAAACTCCAATCTAGATGAAAATTATACAATTAGTAGTAATAGACTAAGAGATAATTATAATTAGGCCAGAAACTTAATGATCTAACATAAATTGGGATTAAAATTGTAATGGAATTTTTTTTTTTTTAATTACACAAAATAGTGATGAAAATAAAAAAAATAAAAAAAACCAATAGTTATTATCTACAAATTCCGGTAATTGAAACAGGAAATCTACAAAGAATCCCAGACGTTGAAGAAGTTTCATCCGCATCATCATTAGCCGCCGGCGGCAAAACCCTCCCATCTGCGAACAGAACCCTCCCATTATTACCATTACGCCCTCCGCTTTCACTAGCCACCACACTCTCTAGTTCCGCCGCCGCGCTGTAAAACGCAGTGTCACCGAATCTCCTCTCCACCTCCAGAAACTCACCAAGTGACGCGGGCTTGGCGTCGCCGTCTCCGCAAAGCCGCCACCACCTTCTCCGAGCCACCGCGGAGGCAGAAATATTCGTCAAAGCCCGCTTCTTCTTCCTTGCCGCAACCGCCGGAACGGTAGCAACGGCGGCATTCACATGGATGTCACGGTGCTGCGACGGCGCTCGAAATGTTATCGCCGGAAAAGTTACTCCCATCAATGTGCCTAACGTCGTGCTCCTGTCGTGAAAAAATGAACCTGTAGACTGAATACCTAAATTAGTTTATTCTTAATTATTATAAATTAAAATTGTAATTCAAAGTCTTTATTCGATTATTTATTAGTCCAAGTATAAAGATACATTTTTTTCTTTATTTATTTAATTAATTAGGAATATTGATTTTTTTTGTTAATTAGTAAAAATGAAAAACATTATAAATAACAGTGATGTAATATGTGAACATTATAAATAAATATTAAGATTATTTAACTTAAACAATTTTATGCATTACTCCTAACTTTTTAGGTGAGGTAACTATTTTTTTTTTTTTTTTTTTTGAATTTTTAATAGTTGACTTTTGGCTAATTAAAAAATAATAAAAAATTATAAGTAAAATATTTAAGGGTATTTTAGTTTTCAGTAAAATATTAACGAAACATAACAGAACCTAACGAAGGGTGGAAAAGTGTCATTTTGAAACTTGAGGGTGGGAAAGTGTCGTTTCGCCAAACCTTGGGTGGGAACATGTCGTTCTCCCAAACAAATCTTACAAAATATGTATAAACTGAGGTGGCAAAAAATGAATGGACGAAGGAATATGATGAGTTTGACTTTTTGTATTAACTCTTCCATTCATTTTGTGTTACATCACACAAATTTTTGTAAGATTTATTTGTACATCTAATATTATTGATTATATAACGAATAAGGGTTCAAATTTCTAGATATATAATATATTCCTTCAATCTTATAGCTGCAATGGGCAGATATATTCTTTCATATCTTGCAAATAGATTGATAAAATTATATTTCTCCCTGTGTTTTATTTTAAATTTTACTAGGATTATCTATCAAGTACCTGTACCTCCATGAGGTTTTCACTGTCATAAACTCCCTCCCACTGTTCCAGAAATTCTCAACTACGTCCCCCACAGGTTTCCACTTTCCTCACCCACCTCCTAGGCATCGTTTTACCGGCGTATTCTAATAAAGGTGAAAAGTCAATAATGCCCAAAGTGATAAAATCTATTTGGTTGTTATGGTTTTGTTAACTAAATTTTGATATGGGTAAATGTTATTTAAATTGTACATATTTTAATATTTTTCCGAGTTTTCTTACGGATTCATTTGTTAATTAATATTGAGTTTATCTCAATAATTTAAAAATTAGATTAGGATATGGATAAGTTTATTTTATTTTTATCTTTTACAAATTGTATTTATTATAATAGTGACAATTGAATAAAGGAAAAAGGAGAATTATCAGGAAAATATAGTGTCTCTTTTAACGGAGGTCTTGGGTTCCCTCAAAGTACCCTATTTTATCTTGAGTTAGTATCTGATTCACCTAGGGAATACATTCATGCTGGCGATCGTGGATTGAACAGGGTGGGGAATTTTCGGCAACAGGGATGATGGGTTTCTGTAGAGGAGGATTGTTTTTCCTTTATATATTTTCTAATTTTTGGTTTTATTGTATAATGTCAAAAGACCAATTACCCATCATTTTAAGTCTAGGCGTTAGAGTAACGGTGTGAGGGGAGGTGGTTTACAGTTTCTGGAACAGTTGGTGGTAGTTTGGCAATACCTGAAAACTCAGAGGAGGTACTTGATAATAGCCCGAATTTTAGCTATAAAAAAAGGTTGGTGACCATGTCCTTATTAGATTTTGCTCCATCCTCACCATGTGCTCATCCCTGAAAAAATTAATTCCACCATTTAAACTATTCATCAATAAGAAAACTTATATGAAATAATATAGGTTAATTACAATAACGCTCACAAAATTAATTAATTAAAGATACATAATTATCTCGGGTAGTCGAGTGATTCGATAAGACTCTTGGATGTTTACTCAAGAGGTCTTGAGTTTGAATCTCTTCTTGTTGTTAATAGAGTACCCCCATGAGCTATTACCTGACTGGTAGTTTCAGGGTCTGAGAGATTAATTGAGTGGTCGTAAGTAGCCGAAACACCCCCGGTTATCAAAAAAAAAAAAAAAATTATAATCGTGATGTAAAGTTAGTTTGTGTGACGGGTTTGTACGTGTAAATAAGTAGTTCTCATATCGATACCGATAAGAAATTATCGTAAATAGACTAAACCAAGAGATTTTGTGTGTAATTACCCTGAATTATTATATGGTTTTGTCTTATTAAGATTAATCTCAACTAACTTTTAATCCGATAATATTTTAATTCTTAAGAAACAAAGCCTCCTTCACATAAATTCATTCATCTTCAAGCCCTTTAAATATGGTCTTTTCTTCTTCTTACATGATTTTCTGCAAAAACAAGACTCTCAGTCTGAAGCCTCCAAATGGGAAATGCAACATCTTGTGGACCTTCAATAATCTGCAGCAACAATGGAGTTATAAAGGTCTTAATATTCTCCAAGGAGTTTACAAATCTTCACAAAACCAGTCAAAGCAGTGGAGCTGATGCTGGAGAATCCAGGCCATTTTTATGCGACTCTGAGAGTTAAAAGTTGGGCAAAGAATCGAGGGATTGTCGGCTGATAAAGAGTTGGAAGTTTCCAAATTTTACTTTTTACTCCCCATGGGGTGCTCTACTCAGTGTGACTGAGGATGAAATTGCGAGTTTTACAAGTAAGGCTGCCATGGCTTTGAAGCAGAAGCAGGCAAATTATTCGAAACATTTGGAAAATATTTCCTGTTGTTCTGAGTGAGTTTTGTTTGTTTCCATCATCAGAAGCAAAAACAAAAACATTTGATTGTTCACATGAAATTGTTGCAGCCGATGATCACCTGTGGAGAGGTTTCAAAACAGAGATCATGGAAGCCTGCCCTGGATACCATTTTTGAAATTCCAACCAGCTGGATTGTTCTCTGTTTTTTTTTTTCTTAGGTGTATAAAGGGAGTTATATTTGGTATAAAAATCAAGATTTTTTTTATTTTTCTGATTTATTATGATTTATTTATAAAAAACTTACCGTGAAATCCTATTTTATTACTCTGATTGATTTGAGAGTTATATATCAATTATCATTGAATTTCATCTAATCCTTAATTAGGTTGGATTGCATATAATACAATTTATCTAACAATGTTGTTCTTGGATTCAATTCTATTGAACCATATGTGGTAAAATTTCTATCTTTTCTCGACCCCATTTGATATTTTGTCATCTTTTTTATGATTGGATGAAAATTCTGATTCTGGGTGCATTTTTAGATTGTTTATGGATTGTAAACCCCTTGACAATTTTTTTCATTATGCGATTTTTCCATCCAAGGGTGCGGTTTTAACTATGCCAAAGTTTTGGGGATGTCCATAAAATTTGGAGATTTGTTCATGTTGGTAATTGTAAGGAAAAAGTTATAATATATATGCACTTTGTTTTCGTGAGATGAATAAGCAATTTTGGCTCTTGAGATTTTATAGATTTTTTTTAATTTTTAATTTTTTTGGGAGTTCAAGTTCTTGTTTCATCTGCATTCTGCCTATGATGAATTATGGTGTTATCAGAATGGTGCAGCACCTTTTTTTGTTTAATGATTCATATGCAACCCAAACCACCAATTTCATCATTCAACCGGTTGTTTGGAGCTCTTGCTAAGAAGAAGTTTTATAAAGACGTCATTTTGCATTACAAGCGAGTGGGTTCAATGGGGTTGTTACCAGATCTTTTTACTTTGAATATTTTGATTAATTGCTTTTGTAATGCAGGTCAAGTTTGTGATGGTTTTGTTGTTTTTGGGAGGATTTTGAGGTGGGGTTTTAACCCAGATGCTGTGACTTTTACTTCTTTGATTAAAGGTTTGCTTTTGGAGAATATGGATACGGAGGCTACGAGGTTGTGCAAGAAAATGGCTATGTTTGGGCTAAGGCTTGACGTGATTACGTATGTGACTTTCATTCAAGGATTTTGTCGCACAAGCAACACGAGCGGTGCGCTTTGATTGTTTGAGGAAATGGTTGCTGGTGGTGTTAATTGTAAACCTAGTATTGTTTGTTATGATAGTATTATCCATGGTCTTTGTAGAGATGGGTTGGTAGATAAGGCGAAATAATTTTTTTTGGAAATGAAAAGTAGAGGAATTAAGCCAAATGTGGTTGTTTGTAACTCTCTAATTTACGGATGGTGTTTTGTGGGAAATTTGGAGGAGGCTAAAGGCTTGTTTAGTGAGATGGCGGATCAAGGTTTGCAGCCTGATTTACTGACATATAACACAATGATAAGTGGGTTTTGCAAGTAGAGGAAGCCAACTGGTTGTTGGAATTGATGAGAGCAATTTTTACAAACTAAATTTATTGAGTTTTCTTTGTCATAAACTGATGATGAAAAACTGTATTATGTTCTATTGAGAGCCTATAATTGAGTAAAGATTAAATATATACTATAGTATTAATGTTATTTAATAAGGAATACCTGAAATATAACCACAAGCTCACACTGTATTACTGAATCGATAATGTTATTGACTCAATATAATCTTAGAAATTGAGTTTTCGATAGTTGTTTCTCATGACATTATAAACAAAATATAGTTATTTGTTCACTTAAAATATGCCTAAATAATATAGTTTTACTAAATGATACTTCATTATATATATAAGTCAATACATACATAAATGACTAATTTTCTCTCTTATCTATCTTGATAATTCATGTAATTGAAGAAATTTAAACTAAAAACAACCTATATAATATGCATACATTAACTTATGGTATTGTCAATTATATCGTAGACTTTTTCTATTATCCTGATACATATTCTTACCTTATGTACCATATATGAGTAATTTTATATGAGTAATACTACATATACAAACAAATCGGGAGAACGACATTTTCCCACCCAAGGTTTGATGAAACCACACTTTTCCACTCGTCAAGTTTCAAAATGACACTTTCTCACCTGCCAAGTTTCAAAATGACACTTTCCCACCCTTTCGTTAGGTTCTGTTAGTGTTTTCAGTTAATATTTGATTGAAAAGACAAAAATACCCTAAATAGTTTTTCTTATTAGTTTA